TCCAGGATGGGCCTTGGAGGCACGGCTTTGTCATGGCTCTGGTCCTTCCTGGAGAGTCGATCTCAGATAGTGAAGCTGGGAGACAACTGCTCGGACCCCTGGCCTTTGACCTGTGGGGTCCCGCAAGGTTCCATTCTGTCTCCCATGCTTTTTAACATCTACATGAAACCACTGGGAGAGGTCATCCGGAGTTTTGGAGTTGGGTGCCATCTCTACGCAGATGACACACAACTCTACTACTCCTTTCCACCTAACTCCAAGGAAACCCCTCAGGTGCTGGATGAGTGCCTGACCGCTGTGGCTGTCTGGATGAGGAGGAACAAGCTGAAGATTAATCCCGACAAGACAGAGGTCCTCCTGGTCGATTGTAAACCAGACCGGGGTATAGGGTGGTAACCTGTGCTGGACGGGGTTGCACTCCCCCTGAAGTCTCAGGTCCACAGTTTGGGTGTCCTCCTGGACTCATCACTGACGCTTGAGGCTCAGGCGTCAGCAGTGACCAGGAGGGCCTTTGCACAATTAAGACTCGTGCGCCAACTGCGACCGTACCTCGTGAAGGCGGATCTGGCCAGGGTGGTCCATGCCTTAGTCACCTCTAGATTGGACTACTGTAATGCACTCTACGTGGGGCTGCCCTTGAAAATGGCCCGGAAATTCCAACTGGTCCAACGGGCGGCGGCCAGGTTGTTAACTGGTGCTCCTTACAGGGAGAGGTCAACCCTCCTGTTTAAGGAGCTCCATTGGCTGCCATTCATTTTCTGGTCCCAATTCAAGGTGCAGGTGCTTACCTACAAAGCCCTAAACAGTTTGGGACCTGCCTACCTGCGTGACCGCATCTCTGTGTACGAACCCACATGATCTCTTCGATCATCTGGAGAGGCCCTGCTCGCAATCCCACCAGCATTGCAGGCACGATTGGTGGGGACGAGAGAGAGGGCCTTTTCGATGGTGGCCCCTCAACTCTGGAACTCACTTCCTAAGGACATCAGGCATGCCCCAATTCTGGCAGTCTTTAGGAGGAGCTTGAAGACGTGGTTGTTCCAGTGTGCCTTCCCAGAATAATGATCCCATAGCACTTTGTCCTCCAAAGCACTTCATAAAAGGGATGACCCAAACAACTACCGTCCGGTCAGCCTCACGTCGATACCAGGCAAGATTCTGGAAAAGATTGTTAAGGAAGTGGTCTGCAAACACTTAGAAACAAATGCGGTCATCGCTAATAGTCAACATGGATTTATCAAAAACAAGTCATGCCAGACTAATCTGATCTCTTTTTTCGATAGAGGTACAAGCTGGGTAGATGCGGGGAATGCCGTGGATGTAGCGTACCTGGATTTCAGTAAGGCCTTCGACAAGGTCCCCCATGACCTTCTGGCAAGGAAACTAGTCCAATGTGGGCTAAGCAAAACTACGGTGAGGTGGATCTGTAATTGGTTAAGTGGACGAACACAGAGAGTGCTCACTAATGCTTCCTCTTCATCTTGGAAAGAAGTGACAAGTGGAGTGCCGCAGGGTTCCGTCCTGGGCCCGGTCCTGTTCAGGATCTTTATTAACGACTTAGATGAAGGGCTAGAAGGCATGATCATCAAGTTTGCAGACGACACCAAATTGGGAGGGATAGCCAAGACTCCAGAGGACAGGAGCAGGATTCAAAACGATCTTGACAGATTAGAGAGAATGGCCAAAACTAACAAAATGAAGTTCAACAGTGACAAATGCAAGATACTCCACTTTGGCAGAAAAAATGAAATGCAAAGATACAGAATGGGGGACGCCTGGCTCGAGAGCAGTACGTGTGAAAAAGATCTTGGAGTCCTCGTGGACAACAAGTTAAACATGAGCCAACAATGTGATGTGGTGGCAAAAAAAGCCAATGGGATTTTGGCCTGCATCAATAGGAGCATAGTGTCTAGATCTGGGGAAGTAATGCTATCCCTCTATTCTGCTTTGGTTAGACCACACCTGGAATATTGTGTCCAATTCTGGGCACCACAATTCAAGAGAGATATTGACAAGCTGGAATGTGTCCAGAGGAGGGCGACTAAAATGATCAAGGGTCTGGAGAACAAGCCCTATGAGGAGCGGCTTAGGGAACTGTGCATGTTTAGCCTGAAGAAGAGAAGGCTGAGAGGAGATATGATAGCCATGTATAAATATGTGAGAGGAAGCCACAGGGAGGAGGGAGCAAGCTTGTTTTCTGCTTCCTTGGAGACTAGGACGCAATGGAGCAATGGCTTCAAACTACAAGAGAGGAGATTCCATCTGAACATGAGGAAGAACTTCCTGACTGTGAGAGCCGTTCAGCAGTGGAACTCTCTGCCCCGGAGTGTGGTGGAGGCTCCTTCTTTGGAAGCTTTTAAACGGGGGCTGGATGGCCATCTGTCAGGGGTGATTTGAATGCAATATTCCTGCTTCTTGGCAGGGGGTTGGACTGGATGGCCCATGAGGTCTCTTCCAACTCTTTGATTCTATGATTCTATGATTCTATGATTTCTATGTATCAAGAGAGCCCGCTGATGCTTGACTTCTTCTTTAGAAGCTTTTAAACAGAGGCTGGGTGGCCATCTGTCAGGGGTGCTTTGAATGCAATATTCCTGCTTCTTGGCAGAAGGGGGTTGGACTGGATGAGGGCCCAGGAGGTCTCTTCCCACCCCTCCAACTTTTTGATTCTATGATTCTAGGTGGGAAAAGCTCTCATGTCCTGTAACTGAGCTTCCAAACTGTAAGACTGAACTAAAAACTTTCTTTCCCTCCCAGAACCCTGGGGAAAGAGGCGGAACTAAAGAACTTAACGATGATAGGCAGGTGGCTGGCCCTATGGCTGCAGCCTGGAAGGAACCACCCAACTGCAAAATGCATGGCCAAAACAAACACATGCATAGGTAAAGGTAAAGGTAGTCCCTGACATTAAGTCCAGTCATGTCTGACTCTAGGGTGTGGTGCTCATCTCCATTTCTAAGCCAAAGAGCCGACGTTGTCCGTAGACACCTCCAAGGTCATGTGGCCGGCATGACTGTATGGAGCGCCATTATAGAAAGGAAATTTAGGCTTCTGGTACAGCTGTACCAGCACAGAAGCTATCTAATGTTTTCAACCCTGGCCTCCAGTGGCTTCAGCACTTTGGATAGCTCCTTTCATGCTTAGACTAAAGCGCAGCATAGATCCGCCAACCACTGATATCAGAGCCATCAACCTCCACCAGCATCCAGGTCTCTTTACTTCTTTTATTATATCAAAGCACCACACATAAGTTATACCACGTCTGCCTGATGGGTGACAACTAACGATTAAGCTGTCACATTGATTAACACGGGCAGAAGAGATATTGCACATCAAAAAGAGCAATGTGGCACCAGGACCATCACAGGACCATGGGGTTTTGCAAAAGCGATTGCTGCGTAGGTGAGGGAGGGAGAATAGATTAAAATGCCCCCTGGATGCCTTTTGGCTCGCTTGCCCTGTTGGAGGCCCCAGAACCAGCATGGCGTTCGGTTGTGATTTATTTTTATTTATTTGTCGTGTCAATTGTACTATGTTTCTAACAGAACAAAACAAACAAACAGACAAAACACAAAATTTGCAAGTATGGTAGTTGATTAAATGTCCTTTGACCAGTATCTGGCCACTTGGAGTGCCTCTGGTGTTGCTGCAAGGAGGTCCTCCATTGTGTATGTGGCAGGGCTCAGGATGCATTGCAGCAGGTGGTCAGTGGTTTGCTCTTCTCCGCACTCGCATGTTGTGGATTCCACTTTGTGGCCCCATTTCTGAAGGTTGGCTCTGCATCTCGTGGTGCCAGAGCGCAGTCTGTTCAGCGCCTTCCAAGTCGCCCAGTCCTCTGTGTGCCCAGTGGGGAGTCTCTCATTTGGTATCAGCCATGGGTTAGCCTGCCACTTTTGGACTCTCGCTTGCTGAGGTGTTCCAGCGAGTGTCTCTGTAGATCTTAGAAAACTATTTCTTGATTTAAGTCATTGACGTGCTGGCTGATACCCAAACAGGGGATGAGCTGGAGATGTCTCTGCCTTGGTCCTTTCACTATTGGCTGCTACTTCCCGGCGGATGTCAGGTGGTGCAATACTGGCTAAGCAGTGTAATTTCTCCAGTGGTGTAGGGCGCAGACACCCTGTGATAATGCGGCATGTCTCATTAAGAGCCACATCTACTCTTTTAGTGTGGTGAGATGTGGTCCACACCGGGCATGTGTACTCAGTAGCAGAGTAGCACAGTGCAAGGGCGGATGTCTTCAGTGTATCTGGTTGTGATCCCCAGGTTGTGCCAGTCAGCTTTCGTATGATATTGTTTCTAGCACCCACTTTTTGCTTGATGTTCAGGCAGTGCTTCTTGTAGGTCAGAGCACGGTCCAGGGTGACTCCCAGGTATTTGGGTGTGCTGCAATGCTCCAATGGGATTCCTTCCCAGGTAATAATCCTCAGAGCTCGGGATGCTTGTCTATTCTTGAGATGAAAAGCACATGTCTGTGTTTTAGATGGATTAGGGATCAGCTGGTTTTCCCTGTAATAGGCAGTAAGAGCACCTAGAGCTTTGGAAAGCTTCTGTTCAACCATCTCAAAGCTCTCTGCTTGAGCGGTGATGGCACAATCATCAGCATAGATGAAACTCTCTGTCCCTTCTGGCAGTGGCTGGTCATTTGTGTAAATGTTTAACATGGATGGGGCAAGCACGCTCCCCTGAGGCAGGCCGTTCTTCTGTTTCCGCCATCTGCTTCTCTGGCCCTGGAACTCAACAAAAAAGCTCCTGTTTTGTAGCAGGTTTCCTATGAGGCGGGTGAGGTGGTCGTCCTTTGTGATATTATACATTTTTCTCCGGAGGCGGCGGTGGTTCACAGTATCATAGGCTGCAGACAGGTCTATGACAGGACTTTAGGAATTGTAATTGGGCTTGTAGGCGAATGATCTCGGAGGGAAAAACATGAACCAATCATCTTATTTCCCCCTATAATAACCCCGTCCATTTAAGCCTCTGTCATTTCTTTCCTTTTGCAGGAGTGTAAGCCAAAATTGTGGCGAAGCGTTGTCGTTCAGAAGGAAAACACTCTTTTAATTCAAGACGTTCAAGAAGAAGATGGTGGAAATTATACTTGCGAGCTGAAGTTCGAAGGGAAGCTCATACGGAGAACGACTGAGCTCAAAGTTACAGGTAAGGGCTTGGAAGGAAATCGCTGAACCTGGAAAAGTTGGCGGGAATAATTTAATATTGTTTTGTCTATTTGAGATTTAAGATAATTTAAAATTGTTTTGTCTTGGCATTGGATACATAGGTGATTGGTATTCTTGATCCGCTCCAGGAGTTGAGTGTAATGTCTGTAGACAGTCCAAGTTTCACAGACATATAACATGGTTGGAAGGACACTTACTTACTTACTTACTTACTTACTTACTTGCGAAGTAACCTGGACCTGGAAAAGTTGGCGGGAATAATTTAAGGTTGTTTTGTCTTGGTGTTGGATACGTAGGTGATTGGTATTCTTGATCCGCTCCAGGAGTTGAGTGTAATGTCTGTAGACAGTCCACGTTTCACAGGCATATAGCAAGGTTGGAAGGACACTTACTTACTTACTTGCAAAGTAACCTGGACCTGGAAAGGTTGGTGGGAATAATTTAAGATTGTTTTGTCTTGGCGTTGGATATTCTTGATCCGCTCCAGGAGTTGAGTGTCACGTCTGTAGACAGTCCATGTTTCGCAGGCATATAGCAGGGTTGGAAGGACACTTACTTACATACTTGCAAAGTAACCTGGACCTGGAAAAGTTGGTGGGAATAATTTAAGATTGTTTTGTCTTGGCATTAAATACGTAGGTGATTGGTATTCTTGATCCGCTCCAGGAGTTGAGTGTAATGTCTGTAGACAGTCCATGTTTCGCAGGCATATAGCAGGGTTGGAAGAACACTTACTTACTTACTTGCAAAGTAACCTGGCCCTGGAAAAGTTGGTGGGAATAATTTAAGATTGTTTTGTCTTGGCGTTGGATACGTAGGTGATTGGTATTCTTGATCCGCTCCAGGAATTGAGTGTAACTTCTGTAGACAGTCCACGTTTCGCAGGCATATAGCAGGGTTGGAAGGACACTTACTTACTTACTTGCAAAGTAACCTGGACCTGGAAAAGTTGGTGGGAATAATTTAAGATTGTTTTGTCTTGGCGTTGGATACGTAGGTGATTGGTATTCTTGATCCGCTCCAGGAGTTGAGTGTAATGTCTGTAGACAGTCCACGTTTCGCAGGCATATAGCAGGGTTGGAAGGACACTTACTTACTTACTTGCAAAGTAACCTGGACTGACACGACAAAAAAAAAAAGTGTACTGGTGGGTCCGTAGGTGACTGTGGAGCCCTATTCTTGATCTGCATCTTCTCCCGCAGGGAGGGCATTGGTTTCCAGGTGGAAGGTAGTACCCGTTCAGGGTTGGTTTGATGCACCTTCTTCCTCTTGGCACGTTTCTCCTTTTTGCCCTCCATTCGTGCCTCTTTGAATTTCACAGCACTGTTGGTCACAGCTGACTTCCAGCTGGAGTGCTCAAGGGCTGGGGCTTCCTAGTTCTCAGTGTCTATGCCAGAGTTTTTAAGGTTGGCTTTGAGCCCATCTTTCAATCTCTTTTCTTGTCCTCCAACATTCCATTTTCTGTTCATGAGAATTAAATCAGTTTAATTATGTCGTAGAGCAACTGCTTTGAGAGATGGTGGTTGAACATTTGGACACTGTAGCCAGTCCAGCAGAGTTGATGGCGGAGGACCATCACTTCAATGCTGGTGGTCTTTGCTTCTTCCAGCACGCTGACATTTGTCCGCCTGTCTTCCCAAGAGATTTGCAGGATTATTTGGAGGCAACACTGATGGAATCGTTCCAGGAGTTGAGTGTAATGTCTATAGACAGTCCACGTTTTGCAGGCGTAAAGCAGGGTTGGGAGGACAATGGCTTTATAAACAAGCACCTTGGTATCTGTATGGTTGTCCCGGTCCTCAAACACTCCCTGCTTCATTTGGAAAAATTCTGCACTCGAAGAGCTCAGGTGATATTATATTTCAGTGTCAGTGTTGACATTTGTGTTGAGGTGGCTGCCAAGGGAGAGGAAATGGTTAACATTTTCTAATGTGACACCATTAAGCTGTATTTCTGGCATTGGAGAGGGATTGGCTGGTAACTGCTGGAAGAGCACTTTGGTTTTCTCGATGTTCAATGAAAGGCTGAGCTTCTCGTATGCTTCTGCAAAGCGTTTTAGTTCTTCTTCTGAATGTACACAGACTACGTTATCATCGGCATATTGGAGTTCTATAACAGATGTTGTTGTGACTTTGATTTTGGGTTTCACTCTGCTGAGGTTAAATATCTTGCCATCTGTCCGATAGATTACTTCCACTCTGGTGGGAAGCGTCCTGTCAACAAGATGCTACACTGCCATATAATTCAGTTCAAAGAAGATAATGTGGATTTTATACAGCTGTGTAGAAAGGGTCTCAATGTGCACACAACCAGATTTCTTATATCTCTCCTCACCCTACTGTAAATTCAAGCTCTGTTTAATTTCATAAACATCAGAACAAATGCAGCGAGTTCTTGTTGTAATTGCTTTCCAGTTGTGCTTCCATTCAGCCACCTCTCTGTCTGTGGCTCCGTTTGTTTACAGCCCAGATCAGCCATTTTGGGATTACGCTGGAGCAATCCACACCAGCATATAAGAACAAAGTCCCGTGTTTTCCTTGACTGCAGGGATATACATGCGAATACAAACATTTTCTGGCCAAAATCGAGTTTTAATCACACCTTTTTATCATATGTTTTTCAGCTGTTAATCAAAATCACTGTGCATTTTCCTTAAATGTTATTTAGCCACCACCCATTTTATCTTGGTTTCTTCCACATTTTAGGGCCAGTGTAGAAGAGCCCTTCATCCCATACCAACCAGTGTCAGTGTTGACTTTTGTGGAGAGGTGGCTGCTAAGGGATTAAGCGATTAACATGATTAAGCTGTATTTCTGGCATTGGAGAAGGATTGGCTGGTGACTGCTGGAAGAGCACTTTGGTTTTCTCAATGTTCAATGAAAGGCTGAGCTTCTCATATGCTTCTGCAAAGCGTTTTAGAGTGGCTTTTAGTTCTTCTGAATATGCACAGACTACATTATCATCAGCATATTGGAGTTCTATAACAGATGTTGCTGTGACCTTGGTTTTGCCTTTCATTCTGCTGAGGTTAAATAAATACAAATAGACAAACTATTTAAGATTGTTTAGTCTATTTAGATTTCTGGACAGAATATTATAGCTACTGACATATAAGATAACTCAGAAGCAACTTAGCAAAACAGAACTAAACTTGATTAAAATCAATGACTTCATAGACATACATCAAATGTGAAATTTGAAAACATTTGGAAACTTAATGTGTTGACCTCCCTGGATGCAAAGTAATGGAACGGAGAGTCACGGTCTAAAGAAAATCAATTCAAAGTGATGAATTGAATTAGAAATTTCGGAATCGGAATGCGTGCTAAGGTTTGTTTGCATCAGCCTGAGTTTGAACAGAGACGAAGGGTTAATTACTTATTGCCAAAATGTCTGTATTACCAGCAACAGTGTTGTTAATAATCAGTGTTAATAATATAATTGTCACCATCCGTACTTTCTGCATCTAATTACGATCCTGTCGACCACGTACATTACGGATAGGACTGAACTTCTGAAGGTAATTCTTCACTGATTCGAGGAAGGGAATTGCAAATCAAAAAAGACTGTCTGGTAGGCCTGTGCGATTCGTTTCGTTAATTCGTTAATTCGTTAATAATTTGTTAATTTTACCATTTCCGAAGCGATATTGAAACAAATCTCCAAACCCGGAAGGGTTTATAAATATCGAACCAGCAGCCCCCATAGTATTTAACGAGCCTCCGCTCGTTTCGTTAATGGGGTGGAGGCTGCTGGAGTGCTGGTGCATGGGAGCCAATCCGGCGCTCCCAAGCAGTGCACCATGGGTCCGTGGCTGTCTCTTTTTGATTGGCCGGCGAGCCCTTTCAAAGCGGCTCCGCGCGGCCCGTAGCTTGCTGCAGAGGGCGAGGGAGTTTGCATTGGGTTGGCTTGGCAATGGCTGCTAGCAACTGGGATTGGATTCATTCCTTGCTGCTGTGAGTGCTGCTTGCTTCATTTGCTGTCTCTTGCCTGTGTTTGGTCCACATTTGGGCCATTTTTTGGTTAATTTTCCATTTTAAAATATTTTTAATATTATTTTTTAATATTATTTTAATATTATTTTTAATATTATTTTAATATTATTTTTAATATTATTTTTTAATATTATTCTTAAAAAATATTCTAAAAAAGAAAAGACTCTTCTGTTGGTGTGTGCTCTCATTTGCTGTATCCTGCCTGTGTTTGGTCATTTTTTGGTTAATTTTCCATTTTAAAATATTTTTAATATTATTTTAATATTATTTTTTAATATTATTTTTTAATATTATTCTTAAAAAATATTCTAAAAAAGAAAAGACTCTTCTGTTGGTGTGTGCTCTCATTTGCTGTATCCTGCCTGTGTTTGGTCCACATTTGGGCCATTTTTTGGTTAATTTTCCATTTTAAATATTTTTTAATATTATTTTAATATTATTTTTTAATATTATTTTAATATTATTCTTAAAAAATATTCTAAAAAAGAAAAGACTCTTCTGTTGGTGTGTGCTCTCATTTGCTGTCTCCTGCCTGTGTTTGGTCCACATTTGGGCTATTTTTTGGTTAATTTTCCATTTTAAAATATTTTTTAATATTATTTTAATATTATTCTTAAGAAATACCAAAAATATTCTAAAAATTCGTTAATATTTACAAAATTTCTTAAATACCAAAACTTTTTTTTGGAAAGTTTTGTAATTATTTTAAATATCGAAACAAAAAAACACCCCAATTACAAATCGATTTTAGAAACAAATTTTTTCTTGATCAAACAGGCCTACTGTCTGGGAATCTGTCTGTGAAAGATGTTACACACCTTTGATTAAAGTTGTCACACGACGCTTTATGAGTTTCGTGCATATTAGGCAGACGCATGGTTTGTAATTATCCGTCGTGTTTACTTAGTCTGCTAGTTAATCTTCGATTATCTCTTTGAATAGAAACCAAATGTTCCCTTTCTACCTGGAGGTACTTCATCTTCTT